TATCTGTTTTTCATCACCTGTAATAATACGATATGAAAATGAAAAATTGATATTCCTGGTTAAAGCCCAAATTTCTTCCTTTAAACTTAAAAATACATAAACAATACACTGCCTAGTAGAAGAGATAATAAACTAAATCTAGACACAGTTTTTTACCATTTTAACGTTGGTTTTGCCTTGTCTGGTTGACTTATAATTCATAGTGGTGAAATAAATAATTACTTTCTGAATATTCTAATAGGAATAAAAAAAAGAAACTATCATAATTGTACAATAAACTGTTTTAAAGTTGTTAATAAAATTGTTATGTACTAAGATAACTTCAGGTGACAAGATTCACACTACCGCAGTAATGATTGGTTGGGCTGCAGCTTGTTAACAATTTAACCACAGTAAGGAAACAAAATTATTATCTGTATGAAACAGTAGTTAAAAAAACAACAACAAAAAAAAAAAAAACTAAGAACAAACTATGAACAATGATATTAGCTACTTTATTAATGAAATTAGCTGCAGGTTTTTCTTATATAATCTAATAATCTGACTATAATTTGGTGTAAAGTTTTATTCATATTTACTGTTTGTTTGTATTCATGGTACTTAAGAGATGGTAAATGTATAATTAGTAAATTAGATGTGATTTTATTTGTTATATAATTTGAACTTATGACTCTCGCATCCTACAAAAGGTAAACCAACAAATCCTAAGCTTGATGCAGTTATAAACTTCATTTTGCTCAGATGTTTTCAATGTATAATGTTCAATACATATGTGTGTTAAGTCCATTGACAATAAAAGAGGTTTTTACCCATTTGAGGGGGAACAAATTTTCTGCAATTACAGAATTGCTGACAGAATCGTTACTCTTAAATGGAATCTGGTTTTTAATGTAATTTTCAATAATAAATAACAAATTAATTGTTTGTTGTTTAGTTTTTTTTTTGTTTCTTTTTCAGATTTTTCTTACAGATCTTTTTTTAATTCTTTCGAAACTTAATAAGTGTCTCTCCGATTTTGTTAAAACAATAACATATCATAGTTATTTCCTTAAAATTTGTTCCTACAAATATTTGTAGATATTTTCCTTATAAAACCCAAAAAATAATTAAGAGCAAAAATGTTTACATTAAAAAAAAAAAAAAGAAAAAGGGGATTGTCGATTTTCTGAGAATATATTGGCTAGTCTATTTTTAAATATTTTAAAACTTTTCAAAGAAACTGTATGCAGCAAATGAAATGAAAGTCAGGTCACGACTTGGTCGTGGCTACTGAGATCCATTGCTAAAGTGGATATGAAAGACAGACATTAGTTGCTGTCAAAATTGGGAGAGAGAGAGAAGATCAAACCTATAATTTTAACAATTTCATTTTTTTTTAAGGCTTCTCACAATTTACAAGTAAAAGATTCTAAACAACTTGTTTTATGAATATGAAATAACAGTAAATGCTATCATGTGCCTATCATACAATTTAGAAATAAAAAAAAAAAAAATTCTCCAAAAACACCATTCTATGAAACGACTGGCTTGTCTAAACTTACTGTCACACAGCGATTCTCCTGGAATAGTCCTTCACTATTGTAAACAAATTTAAATTGAACAAAAAATTCTTTAATAACATTAACTATCAATGATTATTTTTTAATATTTTATTTATATTTTGTAATCTAAACCAGCTGTATGAATAAGCAACAAGTTGCCAAGATGACTGAATCAAGTCAATATAGTGAATCAACCTCTAAAGTTAGGCCTGCTCCGCTAAAAAAAAAATCCCCAGTATCTAAAATTTATGCTAAGGCCAGTGTAGAGCAATTTCCTGATAACTTTTATGCAGAAGAAAATATGTTATTTTGCAAATTCTGTCTCCATAGTGTTGACATATTTAGGGTTGATACAATCAAAGATCACATTCAAATCAAAAACTCATTTGACAAAAAAGTCGTAAAAAAAATTTGGCTCAACTGAAACAGAAGACAATCACAACTTGAAGAGTAAAGAGGTACAAGATGATTTTGTCCTTGATTTTTTTGAACATGTGCACCTTGACATTCCCTTACAAAAAATTGACAAAATGAAGTCATTCCTATTAAAACATTGTAAAGAAGGTGGTGCTATCCCAAATGTCAATTGTGTTAGGCAACTACATCGACCAAAATTGTTTGCTTGTCACTTTACTGCCCTGAAAGCCAAGCTTGTTAATCAGTCAGCATCATAACAGATGAAACAACTATCATGACCACAGCATTTTGAATGTAATTGCAAGCATTCATAGGGAGTCATTTCTTATTGATATTGTAACCTTAAGAGAATGCAATCATCAAACTGTAAGTCAGGCATGAATCTAAGCTGTAACTCATGTGGATATTGCATTTTGAGGATATTATTGCCTTTGTAACAGATTTTGCAGCCTATTGCAAAAAAAGCTCATAAGAAAGTGTTGTCAAATGTCTTTGTTAACAGTTGCCATGTATTGTGCTTAACACAAATTTTAAATCTTGTTGAAGCATTTCCACACTGGCCAGCATTTGATAATGCTACCCAGCTCACTACTTTCATCAAGTCAGCCTTTTTTAAAAAAGCTTAGTCAGAAAAAGTGATACTTAAAATGGCTTGAAGGTTCCTTGCCTAAGGAACAAGTGAAACCAGTGGCAACCAGATGGAATTCCTGGTTTGATGCAGTTAAATATCACTCATCCTTTGTGCAGTTTTATTAAGGATTCTTCAAACAAGAAAAGAGCCATGGTATTGCAGTAGATAGGATTCTAGAATTAGTAGATGATGCTTGACTACATCATGCCTCTTACCATAATTTGTGCCTAAATCATCATTTTATGAGTGAGAACTGCATTTGTTTAATAACAGCTTTGACAAACTTAGAAGAAACTAAGTTTCTGCTTGCATGTATTGTATATAATATGATGGAGGATGTAAAATAGTATTTACATACTGGTACCTCAAAATCAACATTTGGCTTAGAAACTGACAGTTTTCTGTCTGAACTAGAAAACAGAGAGAGGGAGAAAGTTATCTCAAATCTTCAAGATTTTTTCAACACATCTTTTTTGAATCTGAATAAATACCTGGATATTCCATCCTGGGTACGACATTAAACTGCATCCAACAGCAAGGCCTCTGATCAGGAAGTTTTGAGGAGTGTGGAACCACCTCTTAATTGCTGATGTTCCCAGGTCCACCCTGACCCGGGGTGGTAGCACCTGTTAGGGTCTCAGCTATGGGCAAATAGTGAACTCCCAGTCTAGCCTGCATCCTGAGTATGACGATAAACTACATCCAAGTCCATGTGTATGACGATAAACTAAATCTGAGTCCATGGGTATGATGATAAACTGCATCCACATCCATGGGTATGACAATAAACTTCATCCGCATCCATGGGTATGACGGTAAATGGCATCCGCGTCCTGGGTATGGTGATAAACTACATCCACATATTAGGTATGGTGATAAATTACGTCCGACAGAAAGACCGTTTTTAAAATTAAGGTTGTCGGCTATACAGTTTTGGAAAAGTAGTATTACCAGCCATACGTTTTCGAAGGAATAATATTGCCAGCAATGTGTTTTTGAAAAATGATATTACCAGCCATACGTTTTTGGAAAAATAATAGTACCAGCTCTATTTTTTTGAAAAGTAATATTCCCAGCTATACGTTTAAAAAAAGAAAAATATTACCAGCTATATGTCTTTTAACAAAATTTTATTCAATGGAATTGTAACTGGGGTCAAAACACTGAAAGTATGTTTTTTTTTTAAAAAAAAAAAAATAATAATGCAGTCCATATATTTTTTGAAAAAAAAAATAATGTTGCCAGCTATATTTTTGAAAAATGACCCCCAGCTGTGGGTTTTGGAAGAAAAAAAAAAAATAATGTTGCCAGCTATATGTTTTTGAAAAAAAAATAATGTTGCCAGCTCTACGAACAAAAAAATAATGTTGCCAGCTATACGTGTGGGACCACAAAAAAAAATAATGTTGGTAGGACTATATGTTTGGAAAAAAAAATAATCATAGTTGCCAGCTATACGTTGGAATGTTGCCAGCTATACGTTTTTTGAAAAAAAATAATGTTGCCAGCTATACATTTTTTGAAAAAAATAATGTTGCCAGCTATACGTTTTGAAAAAAAAAAATCTCCTGAGCCAGCTATACGTTTTTGAAAAAAAAAAACTATAAAAAAAAATAATGTTGACAAGCTATATGTTTTTGAAAAAAATAATGTTGCCAGCTATACGTTTTTGAAAAAAAATAATGTTGCCAGCTATATGTTTTTGCAAAAAAATAATGTTGCCAGCTATAAATTTTTTGAAAAAAAAATAACATTAGGGTTTATACGTTTTTTTGAAAAAAAATAATGTTGTCCTATACGTTTTTAAAAAAAAATAAATGCCAGTGATACGTTTTTGAAAAAAAAAAAAGAATGTGAGCCAGCTATACGTTTTTGAAAAAAAAATAATGTTGCCAAAAAAAATACGTTTTTGAAAAAAAATAATGTTGCGATACAACATCAAATATACGTTTTATAAAAAAATAATGTTTTGAAAAAATACGTTTTTGAAAAAATAAGTATTTTTTGAAAAAAAATAATGTTGCCAGCTATACGTTTTTTGAAAAAAAAATAATGTTGCCAGCTATACGTTTTTTGAAAGAAATAATGTTGCCAGCTATACCAAAATCATTTTCAGCATAAAGTGACCACTAAGGTTGGAATGCCGTTAAACAAACTAACAAACAAACCTGGATAGTCACCGTGTATAACTTTTACAAGGCAGCTTGCCTGTTTGATCCGAGACAGCTACCCTGTATAGGCCATGATTTAGTTTTGCAGCCATCAAGGACTTGCAATGTCCTTCTACTGATCTTCTTGAAGCATTCCAAATGTATGTAAATTACCAAAATTATTTACCAAATCCTTTTAATATCCCATCATTTTGGAATGCAAATAAGAGCAGATTTCCTCTTGTGGAACAGATTGCCAATATGGTTCATATGGATGCCTGTTACCAGATTGCCAATAAGTTCATATGGATGCCATTTTCTCAGTATAAACATTTACTCAATAAACAACACAAAAGTCTTACCCCTGAGAACACTAAACAACTCACAGTGTATTACAATGGAGATTTAGAGAAGAGATTTGAAGATTAGATATTTCCCAAATTAAGAAATTAGCAATATTAAATTCGAGCAGTATTTCAACTTGGGATAAGTTGTTTTATTTAAATTTTAATTAGTCTAATTTGTTTTTTGATATTTTGCTACAAAGATTCAGTTATGGTTTAATTACTGTTTTGTAAAATTTTAGTCAAAATGTTTGACTTTATTTAGATATTCATTATTGAGATTCAAGTTATTTGCAGTTGATACTTTAAATGTGATTTTTATATTATGAATCAATAATTATAAATCAATCTAAATACTTTTCCTTAAAAAAACAAAAACAATTTGAATGTCTTCTTAAAGAAGGAAACTCTAATTAAAAGTTCTGTCTCAAAGATAATTATGCACTGTAACATTCCATTGTTTTATTGTCTAGTCATTTTACATTTTTTTATTTTTACATATAATTTATTTTTGAACTTGGATTTTAACATTTAAAAAAAGATTTCTTTATATGCAATAAAACTTTGAATTATGCTTTTGCTTTCAGATTTAATAATAATTATAGCATATTGTATTGCAATTTTCTCATAAAATACTATAAAAATGGAAAAAATGAAATTTCCCTAAAGTAAAAATGGAAAAAAACAGAATTTACCAAAAGTGGAAACAGAATCAATGAAAATTTGAAATGGAAAATTGGGGGCCCTACATTTGGCATGCATGTTTGTGCATATAAAATAGGTAAAAAAAAAAATATATATATATATTTTTAAAGTTTTAGTTTAGTTTTTATACTGTTTCACTTTAATTATATGCAAAAACTATCAAAATAATATTTTACCTCTTTTAAATTATAGAAATAAATACAAAAATGGAAATTAAACAAAATTAGGTTCCTAGGTTTAATAATTTTTAATAGTATTATACTCTTTGAAGCATTTCATGTACAATCTATTCTGTGTTTTTGCACCAAATTATCACCTTTTATTTATTACATCTCTTTCTCTGTGACGAATATGTATGCAGGTATAACACTGTTCTTGCTTTTTTTTTTTCTTTCTTTTTTCTTTCTTTCTTTTTCTTTCTTTTTTCTTTCTTTTTTCTTTCTTTTTTCTTTCTTTTTTCTTTCTTTTTCTTTCTTTCTTCTTTCTTTCTTCTTTCTTTTCTTTCTTTCTTTTCTTTCTTTCTCTGTGACGAATATGTATGCAGGTATAACACTGTTCTTGCTTCTTTTTTTTTTTTTTCTTTCTTTTTCTTTCTTTTTTCTTTCTTTTTCTTTCTTTTTTCTTTCTTTCTTTTTTATTTATTTATTTATTTCTTTCTTTCCTTTCTTTCTTTCTTTTCTTTTTTCTTTCTTTCTTTTTTTTTTTTTTTGGAGACAAATACTTCAGGGAATGATGTCAACACAAATCCTAGAGTTGATGATTAGTCATTTAGACTCAAAACATGAATGAATGCTGCTGATATTTTTTAGAAATTGATTGATCACTTGATGATCATCTCCTCGTTCATGTTCCGTGTCCCCTCAAGGCATAAGCAATCAAGGCTCTCTACAATTTCCTGTTCCTTGTAGCTCTTAATAAATTTTCTCTTTTTATTATTTCTCCTAAACCATGTTCTGCCAATGCATAACCTACTAAGTATGTTATGCATTGTTTTCCTCTCTCTCGCCTTCAATCTATCCTGTGAGTATCAGATTTTCCAAGCCCTCTTCCCTCATCATGTGCCTTAGATACCTCAACTGTCTCTTCTTGATGTTAAGTATAAGTTTCCTTTTTGCTTCCATTTTCACTAAAACTTTGTCATTGCTCACATGTTTGGACCATGGCATAAACAGATATCTGCTGATCTCAAATGAAGCCTCAATTTATTATGCCCACCATTTAAAGTAAATAAACAGTCCTTTGATCATGTTGAGTACTCGTTAGTAAACTTGGAACTTGTATAACTTTCTACATTTACTTATAATAATACATACTTTTTCATCAGTGGTTTTACTTACAGAGCCTAAATTGTTAACTGTTTATAAATAGTAATGCATTGGCTTAGTTATAAAGCTTTTGTTATATATAGTAGAGATAATATTAAGTCATTGAAATTTTGTTAGATGATATTAAGTGTTCAGTGATGGTGAATTAGAGTAGCTCAAATGTAAAACTGAAATAAGATTTTTAATAGCAGACTAACTGTAAACTCAGTAGGGATTCTTTAGAGACCCATTTATCAAAACTATAACCCACATGAGGAATATATGTTTGGAGTATGTTAAATATATACAACTTGATATTTTTCTTTGTTACAATTGAGAAATAGCTTAAGTCTTTATTTGTTCTATGAGCATAATATATGTATTTACTAATTTTAATTTCTAAGAAAAAAATGATAAATTTAATAATTCTAAAAGATTTTTTAAAAATTTTGCAACAATCAATAAATATTAATATATCTAAAAAATGCAATTTGTCATTCTTGGCTTTTTTTCTTTGTTCTTTGCTTTTATAAGGTGACTATTAGATGATTAATTTTTATAAACTTTATTAGCTTGGATTATTTAATAATATAACTGACCAAAACAAATGTTAAGAATTTGGGAATTAGGGAAATGATCCAAGTATATCAACTAAGAGAAACTTAAATGAAGAAAATATTAATAAAAAGAAAAATTTAAGGATTAAGAAATCTATGATTCTTTTTGTTGTTTAAATGTTTTACTTTAATAATTTCTTACCATACATTTCTTCTTTTTTCTATTTTCCCTTTTCCTTATTTTTTTTTCTTCTTTCACATACTCTCAATCCTTTTCCCAACTTTTATTCTTAGCATTTAGCATTTTTCTTTTAATATTTTTTTATTTTCATTAAATTGCAGAAATTTAAAACAATCACTTTAATTTTTTACTTATAAAACAGTGGGGAAACTCTGACTGATTTAAAACTTTTTAGGCTTGTTGAGGGTGAAAAATTTGTCTTCTGTAATTCTTTTTTAGTAGTCATTTTCATTTTTATTATCTTTGATTATTTTTACAGATCATACAAAAATCTTACCTTATTACTATTTATATTTTATAAAAATTTATACTAACATGCATGTGCATATGAACACATGCATTTTACAGTATGTTTTTTTAAAAACTTGTTTCATTAAATATTATAGATATATGAACTATTTTGCAAAAATTTTCTTGTATCTCTTAATTACATGTGTGGGTAATGTAGTAGGAAAATGGAATCAACAATCAGTGTTCAAATTCTGGATGCATCTACTGCTTTCACTTTTACAAAAACACATGAATCCATCTCTTCTCCCTCTTGCTATGGATCAAACTGCAGGATAGACTGGTCTCTGTAGTGTTAGCTGTTGACCAGTCTCAGAAGGACAATACTGAATTCAAAATTGTCGAGAAGGCAATGGAAAAACCATTCCATTGACTTTTCCAAGAAGTCCTGACAATTCAAAGATAATAAAGAGAAAAAGGATCTGTGAAGATTTATGGTTACCTGCATTCTGAAAGGACATGGCATTATAAATGTTTACATGCAGACATTTATAGGATATGTAATATTTTTCCCAAATTCTTTATTGGCCTAGTATTTTAACAAGTTTGTTAGACACAGAACATGAATTTTATGTAATTTTCTTTATCTTGTTTCAGTATTGCCACTTCATCTCTGGTTATAATTTATTTGCCAAACTGAATGTATATTTATTGATTACTTTGATTTCTAAAATTGGATATTCTCATTGGTTCAGTTTTTGGCATTTAGCAAAATCTAGTACAGAAAAAATTGTGTTTGTGTATTACATTTCATGAAATCATCAGGGGAAGGTTAAAAAAATATTAAGCCTAATCCCCATGTGGGCCTCCACCCACCCAGGCAGTACCTCTCCTTCAGGAGTGGGCTGGGATTATTGTCAGGTACCTGATGTGTCCCCAAAAGGAAAAGTGCTGAGGGCGCTTGGGCAATTTTTGCACAGTATTGCTGTTAAATCCACTTTAAACTTTGACCGTGTGTCACATTTGGCAGTGTTGTGAGTGTGCTGAAAAATACCTATTATACCAAGATGTGAACTTGGTTGTTAATGTTTTGCAAAAAGAAAACTAAGCCTGTTACAACTGTGCTAGAAGGAGAGTGACATTTTATGCTAGGGTGCTATATCCTTAAAGTATGAGGTGTCTATATTCTTCTTTTATGTGCTGTGTCCCTTCAGGAGATTAGGCGATCCTGGCCCTTCATCTCCTCTTGTCCCTCGTAGCTCTTAATAAGGTTTGTCTTTTTATTATTTCTTCCAGAACCTGTTCTGCCATCCACTTGCTCAAGCGCATTAAGTATGTCACACATTGCTTTCCCTTGTCCCTCTTTCTTCTCCATGTCCATAATCATCTTTGATGTCCTTGGCTATTATCTGGTCATTGGCTGTGCACCATTGGACCCATTTTTTTCTGCGTTCATTGTTGGTTCCTAGTCCAAATTTTACAACCATCACCCCTGCCCTCTCCTTGTCTACTTTGACATTCAGGTCTCCCATGATAATTATAACTTCTTGTGATTTGCACTGAGCCTTGGTGTTGCCTAGCATGTAGTAGAAAGAGTTGATTTCTTCTTCTGTACTTTGTGCATACACTATTATAAAAGATATGTTGAAAGGCTTTCCTTTCAGTTTAACTAAAAGAATTCTTTCAAATAATTGACAGTATCCTAGAATGCATTTCTTGATGTCTTGATTTAATATCAATCCAACTCCTTTTTCATTTTTCTCTCCGCCTGCATATATAATCCTGTGGTTGTCACTGAGAAAAATTTCCATTGCTTTGCCATTCAGTTAAAATGTTGACATTTAACCAACTCATCTCCTGTTTTACATTTTCCAACTGGCCAGAGTTGTTTAACATTCTAATGTTCCATATCCTGAGAGTTATGTTTTGTTTGATGTTGGAGTCGCTCATTTCTGGGCAAGGAATAAGTTCCGAGGAATTTTATCCCCTTTACTCTGTTTATGCTAGCATTTGCTGAATGATGGTCAAGTGACACTTATTGCACATGTTGGTTCTTACCGGCAAGGACTTAATTCTCATAGACTCATAGACTTAACCCACTTCATGCCATTAGGTTTCATAATTTGTTTGTAGTGGAGTGGTTTCTCGTTGCCTTCTCGACAGTGTTTTTTTTTTTTTTTTGCTCCCTGGCACACAGGCATGTATACATGTCTGTTTGGAGGAATATGATATATAATAATAATAATAATGGACTCTCCTGTTGGTTTCGACAGCTTAATTGATTAAGTTATGAAATTTTGTGATATAATCTTAAGTGGCACTAGTGATTTACAAAGGAGGCCACATATGGAGCAAGAGTGAGGATTGTGAGATGAGATCACTGTTAGATTGGCTGACCTTTTAGATCTTGCTCTCACTTCTTGATGATTCAGACAAGCAGATTGAAAACTGCTGAGTCCACTAAAACACATTGATCTCTATTCTACCCACTCCAAAGCTAAGCGCTCAAGGGTGTTATGTGGTATATAGACAGCTGACAAGTTTCTTTTCAGCTTGTCTTTGTATCTTAGCCATGGGTGTCCTACATTCCTGTAGCCCTGATCTAACTGGCTGTACATTAGGATTGTGGGTATACTGTCATCAGACCAATCCATCGTAACTGAGACTGTATGAGAAAAGTCTTGATTCCTCCAATATTACACCTGTTAGATATGTCCTATCTTGAAGGTTAACTCCATATGGAAAACATCCAGTTGGCGTATATGGTACCTGTATGGAGTCCACGACTCTGAGTTATACAAAAGGATGGCAAGTACAACAGCTCTGTAAACCCGAATTTTCATATCCAGTTGAATACCCTGCTCATTCCACTTATATATATATAAGTATCCCACTGTTGGAGTGTCGGCAACTAAATCAGCTACCCCACTCCATGTTCTTGCAAATGAAGAAGGTTGTTATCAACCCAACAGGATGAAAAATAAGACCTAACAAAGGGTGGAAGAACTCTCAGTCAGTTAACTAGAGGCAGTGTCTCCATAAACCACCATATCTATATTAGATGATCTAAAATTAATGATTTCATTGACTTTTCATGTTCAAATAGTGTTGCTTTTATGTGTATGTTATTTTAGTGGGCACACATTTTGGAATAGATAGCCCTATATTTTTCAAATGGTTAAAATAGCACCTGCCAGCTTAGAACATCAAAGGTCTTATTAAAGAAAATGTACTAGTTGACATGGATTGAAACTCCATTCCTTTCATTGTGGGTAACTCTCTTTTAGCCAAGCATGTTATATACTTTTTTGACTACAGAGGTCGCTGCAGCAAAGAAAGCGGCTCAATTATTCTTTGAAAGAAATGCACATCTCTTGAATGTTCTAGGTAGGTAGATGTTAATTTGACTGAAAATAAATATATATCTCCTCAAG